CAACGTCGAACGTAAGAGGCACGAGCATAATTTACTTGGACCAGGCAAATCGTTGAGAGTCTCTCACCTCTCTATTAATATGGAACTCCCAAGGGGTTGCCCGGTCTTTCACGTCATCCCGCTGGGAAGAATAATTGCTACACAACTTGCACCCGAATGGTAATTAACAGCACAAACCAGATAGGCAGTATCATAGCTTGGTACATAATATAACACAAAGTCATCAAAAGGAACTGTACAGTCCATGGCGCTCCACCAGTCGTCCAGAAGTTTGGGGAATCATTCATCATTTAGTCGTGACTACTGCTGCGAACACATGATCTTCAACTCGGGTACTCAGCCTCAGTCGTTTCTTGGTGCCTGTGACTGGTTGGGCGCAGGCGCAGGCGCACCAATAAGCCAGCCAACGCCTGACGTTAACGTGCCCATGGCCGCCTCGCGTAGCTGATCGCGCTTCCTCGCCCTGGGGTGGTCATCATGCCCATCCCATTCGCCGTCAGGCGCCGAGCCTGATGAACCCGGCGCAGGAGCCGCAGCGGCGGCAGCAGCGGCGCCACCACCGGCAGATTGCTGTAGAGTCGAGAGCGCAGTGAAGTTGCGAGTCGCCGCGCGGGCCGTTGCACGCGAGAGGTCGAACAGCGACATGGGGGCGTCATCTCCGGCCTTGCTCGCAACCGCGGCTGATGGGTGGGCCTGCCGTTCGCCTGACGACCGGTGAGATCGCACCGCCGCGGGGGCTGCGTCGAAGCCGCCGGGCATGACAGAGTGCTCGGCAGTGCCCAGGTCCTCTTCGCGAGCAGCGTCTTCCTTGATGGCTGAGTCAAGCTGCTCCTCGCAGCGGCGGAAGGTTTTGAGGATCTCCTGTAGCTGCGAGGGAGGCGCAATCCTCAGGGCCGTGGCGAGGCAGTCGATGCGCTGTTCTAGGTGCCTGATGTCGGGATTCCCGCTGGCGTTGCCCAGGTGTGTCGGGCGTACTGTTCGGGCACTCCTGATGTACTGCCCGGCCTGCAGAGCAGCCCTCCAGGACCAGTCGTCGTCGACTTTTACCGTGGAACCCATTGATGCGTCCACTCCGCCGCTGAGCCGGTTGACGATATATGAGTACGCCGTCTCAAAGTCGTCTTCTTTCAAGGCTGCTTCGATACACATGGCTGTGATGCGTTGTGTCGCAGCATCGATTTGCTGCCCATTCTCTTCGGCTTGAGCTGTAGCTGCGGCGACCTTGTTATTGCGGTCCACGAGCCCGGCGCGAACCATGTTGGTGCCCACGTCCAAGAGGTCATGAATGCGAGTGTAGCTCTTCGGGTTCTGCTCTAGAACCTTACCAATGATGGAAACGGGATCTGAGTGAACACGCAACACGATGGGACTGAAGGGTTCGCCTTGCCTCAGGACCAGCCGGTATTCGCTGAGGGCATGCGTTGCTTTCAGCAAGGAGTCGATACGGCGCCGCTCAGGGACGGACTTGTGAATCGTTTGAGGGAAGGCATTGATACTGTGAAATTATTAGCGGGAGTCCGTCGTGATATGGGGTTTCCTACTCACATCTCGTCACATTTCTTGAGGCCGCCCCTCGCGCGGCTTGGGTTCGACGCATTGTCGTACGCGTTGAGCGCAGCAGCTACGACGGTCTCCTGCACTATTTGCGGCGACAGCGGCTTGTCGGTGGCGTCCTCGTAAAGGGACCTTGCGAGCGAATATCCTGGCCATGGTTAGTAAAGTAGAGTCATGGATTGTGTATGGTACACATACGTGTACTGGACAGGAGTGCTCTCAAGATCTCAGTCTCGATAACTTCCGGCTTGACCTTGGCGAATATTCCCATCACCTTGCCCTCTGGCGTGGGGGCAATGCCCCAGTCTCGGAGCCAGAGAACTTCCTTTCGTCTCTTGACCCAATATGTTTCGTCGTTCTTAGGAGCGTTCTCTGCTAATGTATGTATCAGCTGAATCACCTCGGCCTTCTGGTCTCTTTCATCTTGGATGAACGCCAAGTCTCCAGCTCTCTTAATAGTGCAAGGTAGTCCACATTGCGTCAGTATGAATGCGCTGAGGATCAGGCCATGGAGAAGGTGTGTTGACTTTCGAGACGGCTTGGTGAGAGGGTTCGAATCCTTGAGCAGGTCGTCTCGCATAAAGGCAGTGTTCTTGTGGTTCAGGATCCCATCACCTTCCAGATACGCAACAGCAGATAACGTATCTGTACCCTCGCGAAGTGACATCATATCATCCTGACCTAGCAGGTCCATGACCTTCCTCAACATTTGGTGTGCTCCTTCGAGCGCTTCTACGCTGGCCTCTGGTACCAGATAAGCGCACGCCATGATTCCTCGTGCATAGCGGCGATCGAGATGCTGCTGTTGCTGCTCACTGAGCCACACAACATCATGCTCTCCCAGATCTACGTCTACAGCACCTCCCCATTGCTCAACGGCAGCAACAGCCACTCTCCAGGAGCTCGAGCTCTTGGAAAGAAGCCATTCGAGGAAACGTTCCCATCCCGCACTGTAAATGCCCTCCTCTGTCGATTCAGTCTTGTCTAAGCGTTTCCACCGCGCGTCGTCATGCAACCAGGGCACAAGCATGCCTCTGAGATCTCTCCCGATCAAAGTATAATCCTTTGGCTGCGCGCCCGTCTGGGACAAAAGAGCATCAACGGCGGCGCCATCTGGGAGACTCTGAAACTCGGCCAACGTATAGGGCACGCTTTCCGTCGGGTAGTATTCGTAATTCCTCCTTAGCAGTGGCAACAAGGTTGAGACCATCCAGACCCGGATACCTGGAGCATACTGTATAAAAGGGCCAAGTAATTCGGGAAGCTGGTTGAGCAGGCCGGCCTCTTCGTCGACACGGTGTGCTCGGTGTAGGAGGAATAAAGTCAATGGATCGTCGTCGGTTTCGACCGTGATATCCTTCCTAGCTAACGGTAGCAAGTGGAGTTTGCGAACCTTTCTCGCAGCGTCTTCATCCGACAAGTTCTCGACGATAGAGTGGTCGATGTTCTCGGCTTCGCGGTCGATGAATTCGCCAGTCGAAAGCTCCTCCAAAAAGGAAAGGTAATCGCTAGAACTAACTGTCTCGGGCAGATAGGTCACGAGGACGCGCAGAACGAGGTCCTTGCGGAGGACAGTAGCATGTCGAGAGGCAAGAAAGGCCAGGCTTTCAATATCGGCGTGGATGGCTAAGTGGACAGCCAAAAGCACAAGCTTCGGCGGGGACAGGACGAGGCTCATTCTGCAAGGGTCCGAGGCATATCCAGTCTAGTGTGTTGTCGGGAACTTTTACTGCGAGCTGACCATGAAGCGCTGGACTCAGCTGGTCAGAGGAGCTATCGCGAACCGATGTCGGTATATCGGAGCGCTGGACAAGTCGACAGGTGCAAGCGCAAGTGCAAGTGGGCACAGGCACGGGCATCAAGGTCCAGCTCCCCGAAGCGTGTTCAGTTGGGGACTTGGGGTGCATGCACTTAGCTTTCGTCATCAGATACCAAAGAAGGTACCTTGCCTGAGGTGCTGAGTGGATTGAGTGCCAGGTGCTCTGATTGGCAAGCAAGCGGGTCAGGGAGGAATAGACGCGCGCTAGCCCCGAGAACTCACGGTCCCGGCGGAAGTGCTATTGGAATCAAGTACCTTCTGATAGGATAATATTTGCCAGACAGCCGCGGACTCTTCCATTGGCACAACCACCTTCCAGACTTTCGACTTCGCGATTGCGTCTCCACGACAGTGCCCGACGACTTGAAGCTTCACCAACCCACCAATCGGCGCTTGTATATCCACAATGGCCTCTGGATACGGACTTCACGGAGGTAATTGCCCCTTCCCGTCGCCATTGATGCCGTACTGATTCTGTGACGCCGGCTAGGCCCATCGCGGTGCTTCCCCTACTGGCAGGAGCTTCTTGGCTGCTATGTCGTCAACACCAACGGCGAGGATCACTCAGAGAAGAAGAAGTGTGGATTGGCTCTGGAGGACTACTACGAGTGCCTGCACCACAAGAAGGAGGTCTGTCAGACCCCTCGATCCCTCAATCCCGGCATACCTATCACCAGAGGACCGATCACTAACCAGTGACACGAACACATATAGGCTGCGAGAACGAGAGCGCTCCAGGCTGCCTACCGAAAGGCTGAGTCTGCCAGTGCACGAGACAACGCACCGAGCGCGGGGCAAATACGCAACCTAGGGCTACTTGGCAAGGAGGACGACACGAAGGTCGTAACGGGGTCGAGTTGAGCGAGATAAAGTTAAAGCCGGGCTCGAGAGGGGCGAGACAAACATGTACATGGCGCGAACCGAATAGGTAGCTTTTGCAAGCACCAAATGATCAACACTAGTTTTCTTTTCAGTGCATGGAGGTGGATCGCTTGCGTGCTGTTCGGGGATCTAGAGAGGTGCCAGTTTCACCTTAGACGAGACACATCTCCTGCATTAGAAGATTTGAATGCGTTGAGGAGTCACCGAACACATGTATGGTTGTGGTGGTTGTGGTGGTGTTATGTTGTTACTAACCTCAAAGCGGTGGGCTTCCCATACGCCATCTGAGAAGTCTGCGTATGTAGGTAAACGAAAGGGAAGCAATTGCCAACGTACCTAAGCATGGAGCTTAACCTTATCGGCGAAATTTGCGAAGAACGGCGGCAGGAGCAGGCGGCCAGAGCAAGGTAGCTTGTATACGTACTGAGGGAAGGTGCAGACTGCAATTCACCAGAAGCCGCACCTGCCCTGAAGAAAAACCGACGCAGTCGACGATTCGCACTCAGTCCAAACTTTCAATACACTTCACTCCTACCTCACCTCCCAGTTTCCAGACGCATATTCCCAAAATACCAACCCGATCAAATTACTGCTTCCACGTCCCCTCGACTACCCTCATAGCTACCACTAATCACCATTCCCTTCCTTTCCCTCAAGTGTTGTTCTGCAAACTTGGCTGGTTCCATGGGAGACCTCGTCGAACTCGTTCGCCCAAGCATAACCGATCGTCAGCAACACAGACACAATGCCTAGCTTCAGGGGCATCGACGTCTCGATCGTGCCCGGTCCCAACATGGAGGGGTTGCCCGAGCTCCCTCACCCCGAGTCCTCCTCTGTCCGACTTCGGGGTCATCATGCAGCAAGCCCGATGTCGACCACGACTTCCAGCTTCACGTCAACACCAGAGAAGTGCAGACCGACGACATCCGTCTACATTCCCTCGTCGCCAGGTCTGTCACTACTTTAGCTTGCTTCCTCAGCGCATTACACCAATTGGCCAGAATTGACGTAGGTTATACAGGATCCCAGTTCCACTTGAGATACTCAATCAACAAACCTCCCACGGATAGCAAATTCCTGTACTTCAGAATGACCATGAACGGTCGTCAAGTAGTTTCTTGGGGTATCAAGTCGCAAGCCACCCAGAGCCAGATCGTTAGTCATGCTCTGTACGAGCCCGATACCAAGTGGCATTATCGAGAGTGTGGCGTCACTTATAAGCGTGAAGGCATTGAGAAACGTTTCTTTCACTTCACACCGCGCTCCGAGACCTCCGCTGCCATGGATGGCGGCCTCATCGACCTTCAGATTTTCCGATCCTACGGACGAAGGAGGAGGGCGCCTCAACTTGATGACTTTCGCAGTCAAGATCAATACGGGATCACGTAAGATTTCCTTTTCACAATCCACTCCAACACTTCGACTAAATTGATCCATGACATAGATCACCAACCGGCGGCCTCGTGGAGTTACCTCAAGATCTCACATTCTACGACTGGGCCCTTATCGACCCTGTTGACTCTCCATTCGCCGCTTTCCGCTTCTTCTACCGCACTTGGGGAAACTTGAAGGCGCTGAACTTGGTCTCAGAAGCGCATTATGAGGAACTGATGGCCTCAGATGCACAGAGTGGACATTTGCCTGACAGACCAAAGACGCCAAACCACAATGAGACTGGAAGCTATATTCGAACCCACCCGAGACTATTTGGCCTCGAATCCCTTGACGGTCTAGTCTTTGAGGACAGTAACAAAGGTCGGAACAAGATTAGAGAGAGGCAGAATTCGCCTGCCGAGAGAGACTTCTACCTTGAAACACCACCCAAGCTCGCTCCTCCGGCCCTGAAAACGACCAGGATGCCTCAACCCAGCAAGCTAGCGCGAGAGATTCGGAAGGTGTCAGACCCTCTTCGACCTCTGCCAATGCTTCCTGACTTTGAACCATCGATCAGCAGGCAGTCACTAGAATCGACGAGGGCACCTTCAGTCACACCATCGCTCTTACCGTACATTGACGAGTCGAGTGGTTGTGACGAGATTGAGCTTGGAGTTGCCAGACAGGTGACGCTGCCCTCTCTATCTCAAGAGCTCCCTAAGATACATCCTCGCCGTCCTCTCCCATCTCCGCCCCTAGGACTTCCAGCGTCTTCATCCGACTATGACATGAGCCCTCCTTCTACGGGTGGCTTGGAGGTATTTAACAGGGTTGGGAGGCAAGATTATGTTGCAGCAGCGCGTGCGAGCGCCATGAGGCTGCGAGGTTCGTCTATCAGCAGTCTGAGTTTCTCAGACTATTCCATTCGAGATCCCAGGCGCCTCGGTTCTAACCCCGGCATGGCGTCAACTGTCGATAACTTTGACAACGTGAGCGTCTCGGAAGGAGAATGGCTCAAGCGGAGTCCATCGCCTTTGCGTCGCAGGCATGGCAGATTGAATCTCAACAAGTGGAGTGATCGAGGGAGGAATGAAGACCAATGAGACTTCCGGGTTCAAGAAGACAAATTCGGGTTATCTGTAGGACTATTTTGATCATAGGCACGAGTTTGCTGAAAGGAACGGAGCACTTCAGTGGCCAATTCACTGATCATATTCAGAAGAGGCCTGTATGTTTCTAAGACATGTTGGAAGCTCCTAGCCATGAAAACTGAGAGGTTCACATCACTATGTTCAGTAGACGGAAATTCACAGCTTTGCTGAACAAGGAACCGAAACGGAAGTGAACCGTTATTGGTGCATTGGAAAATGCGATAACTCACCGGGAAACAAGCTCTAAGGATCGATGTAATGGTAATATTACTTTGTTCTATATAGTTTATGGGCTTCTTGATGCTGACTTGATGAGACAGATATACATAGACATTGAATGGTCTTATCCTAGCTACTATGCGTCTGTCACAAGGTAAACATTATTGAATACGTTGCCACTAACGCGGAAGTGTTTAAACAGGATTATTGCGTTATAAATCTTCCATTGAGGTAGAATGTTGCTTCTGATTTTAATAGATGTCGACGAGCCTGGTCGGAGTAAAGACCATGCGACCTTATCAGTGGCGTTGACGAAGACGGAAACCAGCGACTTCCTTCGTGAAATCTAAACACGCTCAAATCAAACACTGCAGAAAGCCGTTGTCACTTTTCCCTCTGCTTATCAGTTACTCCAAGGTCCTCTATGAGCAGTGTATTTGCACTGGTGATTCTGAGTTATCCAAAGCATTCGCGCAAGAATTCCGATTTCACACATCACAAGTAGAACCTGTACACTCCTCAGAGCTATACCTTATCATTTAGGCCTGAGGAGGAACAAGCTAATCTCGTAAGGTGTCGACAGCTCCCGAAGGCTCTACATCACCACCACTTCTCACACAGAACCCGTTCAGGTCTGAGATTCAACCCGCTCTTCGATATGAGGCTCTCGACCAACTCATCAGTCATGGACGGGATCCCGCAGACGTACACCAACGCATCACCGCGTTCCGCTTCGGGCCCCAAGGCTTCCGCCACGTCTCCGAGGCCCATACGGCGCCTCTTGAACGGGACGTCCATCTCGTTGCAATGTAGAACGGACTCACCGGATGCGATCCCGGGACCGAGGCCGGTGAGGAACAACCTCATCTGGCCACGGACTTTTTCCCGGCCGAAAATAGCCGCCAGCCGCTCCATAAAGAGGATCTTTTCGGAATCGAGGAGGCTGTCCTCGCCAGACTCTTCTGGCGGCGACGCCGACGACGGCACCTTTGTCGAGTACATGAACTGGACATCGTACGGGCAGCCGCCCTTCCCTTCAACCCCTTCAGCCAGGTGACTCACGATACTCATCAGCGGATTCACACCGACGCCGCCTGCAATGAAGACGATTCGCCGCAGGGAGGCCAAGTCAGCAATTCCCGGGGGCGGCCAGACAAAGGACCCGCCGACGCGGACCTGAATCTCTGGTTTCTTCTCTACCTGGGAGGGGTCTTCATTCTCGTCGTCGACAGGTTGTTCCCAGAGCCAAGCGGCGGCCGGGTTCGTCGGCGACTTTTGCACCGCGAGCTCGAGGTACGCGGATCTTGGTAGGACGGCCTTGGACGGCGGGCTGGTGAGGGTGAAGCCCCCTGCCTTGGGCACGCCGGGGACGTAGGTGTCCAGCCATTGGCCTGGGAGGAACTGTTTTCCCGCAATGAGTAAGTCACATCGGATCAAGAGCCTGGCCAAGTGAGAGGTAAACCGGGAGCCACGGCCAGAGGCGGGGACATTTCCGCGCAATGTAAGTCGCGTATGTAAACCTCATCCTTTGAAGTCGGCAGGAAATTGTGGATGCCGAACGTACCTCAATCCTCGACCCCTCCTTTACCCCAAGCCGGAAGAGACGGATTTCTTCGTTTACGGCATTGACTCTGACAAGTGTAACGCTGTGCAATGTCTGTCTTTCTTCATGAGCACATAGGTACTGCTGACAGCATAACAGCTTGGAGGTGGGCGGCTTCCTACAGAATCCCGGGGTTGAGCCGCCGTGCGCTCGGTATGCGACGTCGACGTTTCCCCCACCTCCTTGCCCATATTTTGAAAAGTGTAGGTATATGCACGAGCTTGAGGAGGGTGAATGAGGAAACGACTATGTTTGATGGCGAGGAAGCTTGTACGCGGTTGATACATCTGGTTTCTGGAATTGATGTTGGCTCCGCTATCAGAGGTAGGTGGGATGGATGGATGGATGGGTGGATGCCTGCACCGAGGTCGGTGAGCTTAGTGAAGTGTGTACATTCCATTGTCCCGCACTTGGCCAAGCACTACAACACAACGACAACGACGCATAGGTAGAAATTGCTACGTCGACACCAGAGCTATATATGTTATGTCATCACGGCTCAAATCCAGTAAGAAGCAGGTGGTTTCAACGACGGTGTGCTTTTAATTGCGCCCAATCTTTCATCCTCGCAGATCTTTCTATTTTTCAATACGCTTGCCTTGTCATCGTAAGCATACAAGTCCACGCCACCGCCCGAAGAGAACATGCGCCAAATCAGGACGGCTCGGTCCAGTTCACCTGGTCCATCACTTCTCCGGCAGACGAATGCCCATACCCAATCCTCAGACGTAGTCGCAGCGGCTGCGAGAAAGTTAGCAATCTGACGAAAAAGTACAAAAGCAAAGAGGGGGAAGAAACATACTCCCTTGGCTCCAGACACAATCATTCTCTGGGTGGCTTCGGCGCCAGGACCAACATCCGTGCTCGAAATGGCCATGAGCTGCAGCTTCTGCGTCTTGGGAACAGCTGCTTGTAATCCCACGTTCGACAAAGGACCGGGGCCTGAGTTTCTGAAGCGACCGATAACCTGAACAAGACCCTCGGCATTGCGCTGGATCTGGAAGCTGACGTTGAGACCATTGTTGTCGTAGACAGGAAGGCCTGCGGGTGCCTGCGGGGCGGCCTGCGCCTGGGGCGGAGGGGTTGCCACGGCGGACATGGAAGACATCAGGTCCATGTTCGAGCCACCCATAACTGGTACAGGAGAACCCACGGGCTGGGCAGGACCTTGGGAGAAGAGGTCCATGATAGAGGCTGCCTGGGATTGTTGCGGGCCAGGAGATGTCGATGTAGGGGGCGATGAGGTACCGCCCAGAATGTCGGCGAGAAGGTCGGTGTTAGAGGCGCCACCGGCGGCAGGAGTAGTTGTTGGAGGGGTGTCCATAAGGTCGAATAGGAGATCCTGCTCGGTTGGCTTGACGACCCTCGATTTCCTGTTGGCGGCCTTGGCCTTCTTTGTGGTGGTCGCCGCGCCCAGTACGCGGGATTCCTCCTTGATTTGAGGAGGCGGCATCTTCTCAAGAACGCCAGAGCGGATTTGGTCGTACGAGAACAAGTTGGTGTACTCAACAGCTCTTTGCTGAACCTCAACATCCAAACTTGTCTGGTGGACTTCAAGCAGCCGGCGGATGCGATCCAGTTGCGCAGGATCCGACAATCTCGTCGTGAGCTTAACGAGCGCCGTCACGATGTACTCGGTCGAAACTTGGGTTGCGTGGTTGCTGTTGAGGATAGTCGTGAACAAGTCGATGAGTTCGTGCTGCTTAACCTCACGAACCAGTTCTTCCTCTTCATATTGCCCACCTCTCAATAGGGCATCGCCGTACTCGCCGATACACCACGCTCCAGCTTGTGTAAGACTCTCCTGCGTAATATCCTTCTTCAAGTTGATATAAAGCTTCTGAACGGCGTAGGTCTGCAGTTCAGGGGTAGTGGCCACCAGTCGGATAAATGATGACATGATAGGCTCCTTAACATAATTGCCGGCGAGCGTCAACACTCGCAACATTGTGTCGACGTGCCAGCGCTTGTTCGGTGCAAATTTGTCGGCAGCAATGCCTATTTGACTGGTCATGGTAGGCTTGAACTCATTGTCGGCGACCTCCAAGAATGCAAGCAACTCCCGAATGAGGACCCGCACGTTGCTCTCGTTGATGAGCGTAAAGCTGAGTTCGAGCGCTCGCCTCCTGATGCTGATATCCGGGTCTCTCAAGCACTCCAAAATGGTGTTGCGATGTCTCTGGACAGCGTTTGGCTCGATGGCGACCACCTTGATAAGAGTGTTGAGCGCAACGTAACGGATGTTGTTATCGCGGTTGGACAGGAACTTGCCCAGAATATTGACACCGAGTACGCGAAGACCAGAATCCGCCTCGATATCGAGGATCGTGAGGACGGCCTCATACAAGATGGAGTTTCCGACGTTCTTTGAGGAGTCCGTATTTGTCGCAACCTGTGCCAGAATATCGTTGATCTGCTCACTGACATGTGCGTCGCCCGTAGCCAAGGCCCTCAAGAAGCGGAGGATCTTGACTTGCACAAACGGATCGCTGATACCTGTGACGTCATGCTCGGGAGCATATCCAGAGGTTGCGAGAGCCTTCAGTGTCTTGACCAGGTTCGGTACAAAGATCTTGAACTTCTCGACAATGTCCTCATCACCATCCGCATCTTCTTCTTCGTCGGCCTCGCAGAAGCTGGTTGCCAGGGTCAAGCCACACAGCTGGACGCCGTGGTTTCGGTCGGCCAGCAGGTTGCTGACCTTGTCGACGAAGTGCTCTTTCAAGTCTGGGACCTTGCGACATATCCGCATGGCACAGAGCGCCGCCTTCCTTCGAATATACGGGTTCGATGTGTTGACGCAGGCTTCGACTTGCTGGAACAGGTCTCGCGACATCTCAATGGAGGCGATGTTACCCAGGGTGCAAAGGGCCAGACCGACGACATACTGATTCGAGTGGGCGAGATCACTATTCCATATCAGCTATGGTGTCAATGGCCAAGATGTGTTGCCGGGCCTTACTTCTGTAGTGAGTTTGTCACAAGCGTCAAGACCTCCTGGTTTTCGTCAAGCAGCAAACTGGTAGCGAGATGTCCCAGTCGCTTGTCGGCAAATCGTGGAGAGGCCAGCAGCTTCAGACATTCGATCTGACCAAAATGTGTTCTCTCACCGAGGGTAAAAAGGTATAGGAGCTTGGCGACATTGTTCCGCCTAGTGATTAAACGTCAGCCCCGATCCGTGGTGGGTTTTCTTTCGGGGTCATAATCCATTGCGCACCTCACGCTGTGGTCGCCGCTCTCTTCTCTGAAGCTTGCTCGGATGGAGGCGCTCTCTTTCTGAATAACGGCTCGTTCGTCGGCGATGGTCTTGGCGGCGCGAACGTTGCGGATGAACTGCTTCACTGGAGTGTCACCTAGGTCAGCTCCAGGCCACCGTCACAGGTACAGAGGGGCTTCATCATACAAGAACTCATGTTGGGCGACCGGGGGAATGGGCCCGCGGAGGGCCTTGGACAGGTAGCTGGGTCCTGGAGGAGAGAAATGCACGGAGGGGGTTGCAAGCTCGTCGAGAGCTCTCGAAAGGGCGAGTCGCGATTATCGAGGAGGTCTTTGAGGGTCGTGTTCCGGTAGACTTGCTAAGGACCGACGAATAGACCAGATAGACGGGGCCAAGGATGTCAGGCCCGGCGGGTTGAGCGACACGCATCCGTGGCCTGGCATTGGAGGTGCACCGTGCAGCGCCGTCACAGGTGTGGGGCCGACGTGTGGACTTGGCCCTACATTTCAGGCGCAAACGAATTATGTGGTACTTCAAAGGCCATTGACCTTTGATAGGGGGCTTTAGGGGTCCTTCAGCGTGTCGTGTAGTACCTTACCTTACGGATACTGTACCTTAAGGTGCTTAGCTGGCATCCGTGTTTCTAAGCTAATGGGATCTTGGCTTGTGTGCCTGGGCTTCACCACCAAGATAACACCTCATGTTCCCGAGTCTTGTAAGACCTGAAGAGCTTCCAACCCGGTCTTTCCCCTGCTACATCCGGTTCACATTTATTCAGTCCATAGTCCCAACTTAGACTCTGAATATCAATTCCCTAGAAGCAGCATTGACGATGCGTCGTGCAGCTTGTTGTCAACCTCACGTGCACTATACCAAGATAGTCCAGGCCATCCAAGCAGCAGATAGTCACGACAACGGATGGCAGTTCAAGGTTTGCTTCACTATACGATACGCACACTTGGAACATCTAGAGGGGCGGATCGGGGCGGTGCCTGCAGCCCTGCCAAGCTAGATTGCTCTGCCGGCCTAGCTCTCTGGCTCAGCATGTACCAGGTCATGGATAATACGTGTGGCACAACGTGATCGTCTATCCATCTTCATGACTCCGTCCTTTGATGAACAAGCTTACACAGTGCCTCTGTTGCCCGCTGTCATTATCAGCCTGGGTGCAACAGACTACTTTGCCCACCCAGCGAGTGCTCAACGCGGTCATTGGCGTCATATTTCAGCATGTGATGCTCGCCGCGGAGAAGCCATGGCAGCATTCACGCGCCTGGTACCAAATCACAAGCATCGTCAAGCTTCGCAATTGCACTTGATGAAATCGCCGGGTTGATTGACTTTTGCATTCGCCGCCCTGGAGGAGACCCCCTTCTAAGCGTAACTCCCGTGTCATTCAGAATGTGTCTTGTGTCTGTGTCGGTGTAGGTGTAGGAGAGTGTGTTCGTTAAATAAGCATCGTGATAGAACGGGAATGAAACAGGCAAGCGTGCTGGCAGCGAGACGAATGCATAGAGCCCCCCTCAACCGTCCGAATATCAAACTCGTCCTTTCGCTGGTTATTCTCGTATGCCAACTCCCACGGTCTAAAAGAATACCTTCTGACCAGCCTGGCCCTTTGAAGACCGTTCGTGTCGTTTCTCGCAAGGAACAAATGCTGCGCGGCCAATGTCACCGTGAATAGGTTCGACCTACAGCCGCTCGACCAACTTGACGCCTTACTTCTGCATCATGAGTTGGACGAACTCGTTGTCTGGGAACGTGTGTTAGCAACGTGAGCAATGAGCAGCGTGAACACGGATGTCGCGTTCTTACAGTCAATGCGTCCATCGCCGTCCTGGTCAGCCTCGCGAATCATCTCATCAACCTCATCGTCGGTGAGCTTCTCGCCGATTGAAGTCATGACGTGGCGAAGCTCGGCGGCGGATATGAAGCCGTTGTTATCGCGGTCAAAGACCTTTCTCTGGTCAGCGTTGTCTACGTGCGGGTTGCACTAGCTCGTCTCACCTTGAAGGCTTCACGAATCTCCTCCTCGGAGTCGGTGTCCTTCATCTTGCGGGCCATCATGGTGAGGAACTCTGCCAGATTATTCGTCAGCGAGTCGCTTTCGTGTGCGTGATTGCCAGTGGTTATTGTGTAGACCTACCAGGGAAGTCGATCGTTCCGTTGTTGTCGGCGTCAACCTCGTTGATCATGTCCTGAAGCTCAGACTCGGAGGGGTTCTGTCCCAGGGAGCGCATGACGGTGCCGAGCTCCTTGGTTGTAATTTGTCCTGTCCGTATTCTTTAGCTCCGTGCCCTGAAATCCACATGATCAAATCTCGACAATGTCCCAATGCTGATCTCGTATCGAAGCGGTCGCGGGAGTCGAAATTGTACTGGCGCGGGGTCGAGAGAAAGGGAAAGGGGGGGACCAGGTACTGACCATCGCCGTCCTTGTCCTGTATGAATGGGTCAGCTCACATCCGAAAATACCTTTCGAGGAAAAGGAACTTCGTCCGGGACGAACTCGGAGTGACTTACAAAGAGGGAGAAGGCCTCCTTGAACTCGGAAACTTGCTCTTCGGTGAGGGAGTCAGCCTAGATTGAGGGTAGCCGTGTCAGTTCAGGTCGCCGAAAATAGCGTCGGTAGCCCCTCAGTCGCGGGGTCACCTCACGAGAGGTAGCATAAAGGCGGCATAGAGGACGGAGCTCGGAGTTTGGACAACTGACCATGGCGAATGTTGACGATGGTTTGTTGTGAGAATACGGGACTGGTTCTGGAAGCGGTCTACGTCGAATGGGGCCGTATGTTATGGAGTTGGAAGATGTTCACGAAAGTATTCGGAAGCCTTGGCCAGATTAGATGCTACCGGATGCCTTTGGGGGGTCGAGCTTTTCTGTAGTGTGCAGCTCGTGGGGAGAGATGGGGCAGACCGGGGGAGAACGTCGGGCGATAGGGGGGCCGCGGGCGTCGAAGGGTCGAAGCTGACGGGCCGCCTGCTCAGTCTGTGGCTGACCGGGACAGCCATAGGTTGCCTCGACCATTGGGCAGCGGGCGTCTTTCCAGGACGGTAGCTTCATCTCTCAGCGTGTCAAGTCACCGCGTCTCCCAGCCTGATGGGCCAATCTACACAGTATGGTGCCAGGGGTCGCTGTGCACTTGGCGGTGTCACCGAACCTAAGCTACGGAGTACCTACCTACATAGTAGAGAAAGGCCCCTGGATGAAAGGATGACGGTTTGGACGGACGGTCTGAAAGGTGCCAGGTGTCCAGGCGTCCCATTACGCCCACTGTCTGGCCCACTTGTACTCCGTACCTACCTATTTCTCATCCATTGCATTCCATCTTCACCTAAATTGAGTACAGAGTGGAAGAAAAAGCTGACATAAGACACCCTGAAGCGGCGGATGCATAAAGAACAGCACACCAATTGACGTCGAGCAGTGCCGCGTCGCCAACCTAAGGTAGGTAAGGTACCTAAGGCAAGGTACCTAGCTGGGTAGGTACCTGAAGGTTCCTTACAGAGTCCCTCTTAGAGGCAGGTTGCCTCGACGGTACGGAGCCATTGGGATTTGGCCCGGCCCACACGCGGCTCAATCCGCAGACAACTGAATAAGACCCGTGGACCTGACGCAATCCGTCCCCATTGCCAAAGGCTCCCATCCTGGCATGCGATACCTGTCCATTTCATCAGCGAGTTAATGCAAGCTTGTCGGCGCATCTCTACACAGGGTGGCATAATCAACCAACACCACCACTACCACCACGTACTTCAACTCACTTTACCTTTTCATCCTATCACCTTGACTTGTGATCCAAGAGCTTCCCTACGTATCCGTGCTTGTCTTTTGTTGAGGGCTTGACTTGGCTATCTTCCAAATTAACCACAAATCAATCGCTTTCTGCTAATTAATAATTGCGACCCGAAGCTGAAAGCCGGCCAGACCTGGGATCTTTACCGGTATTAGAGAGCTGAACCAATTCCGCCCTTGGCACAACTAAATCATCTAATCTGACGTACATTTCCTAAAAGACTCCCTCGACCACACAACATCCACGTCGCCGCAACCTTGTGCTCGACCAACGCCAATGGTGTCCTGTTCCGTAATTGCGACCTCTCGTTCATGACGGCGACCCTGAGCGGCCCGCGCAGCGAGCGACAAAGGACACCAGGCTGAGCAGCGCCATTGCGGCCTACTCTGGCGTCCGCTATGTGGCGAGACCGCACGAATCTGTACGTTTAGTCGCCCTTGTTCGCTCTCACAATATCCGCATCGTCTTCACCTGGGCTACTCTGCCTTCAGCTTGCTGGACGGGAACTAAGATCGATTACTGATTTGCTAACAACGCATTCCGACCTCCAGCTACATTTCCTATCGGCAGTCGTACGCGCACCACCCGACAAAACGGACAAAGTACAGCGGTAGCGCGGCCGGTGGGAATGGCTTCGGCGATAGCTTCCCGGGGAACACCAGCTATGCCAGCGGCAACGACGACACGCGCGGCCTTCTCTCGGCCGGCGCCTTCGAAGATGATGGCGACGCCGTCATAGAGATGGACCTCCTACCCCCACGCTGGGCCGACATATCCGACGAGATCACCGACCTCCTCGCCGATATTGCTACCAGGAGCCAGGCCCTCGAGCGCCTGCACCAGAAACACGTACTGCCGGGGTTCAACGATGAGGATGCGAAAAAGGCCGAGGAGCGGGAAATTGAGAGGCTCACGCAGCAGATCACAAAGGGGTTTCACGACTGCCATGGTTGCATTCAACGGGTTGAGCAGATGGTGAGGGACTCGAAGCATTCTGGAACAATTACCAGCGCAAAGAAGACCATGGCAAAGAACATCCAGATATCCCTGGCTTCGCGGGTGCAGGAAGCCAGCGCGCTCTTCAGAAAGAAGCAAAGCGCATACTTGAAAAGTCAGTACCGCGGGATATAAAAGGAGAAAATGGTACGCTAACAATATGCGTAGAACTACGCGGGATGAGCGGTCTCAGCACAGGCGGCGTAGGCGTGCCAGGCGAAAGGGGATCAACACCTCAGCCCTCCAACTCGTACCTCGACCCGTCCATGGTCGAGTCGGACGCCGACAGGTCCTTCTCACAATCGACGCTCCAAGCAACGCAGCAAAAGCTCCTGCAGTCCAACGACGCGGCCATCATCCAACGCGAGCGCGAAATCGAGGACATTGCACAGGGCATTATCGAGCTCGCCGACATATTCCGCGACCTGCAGAACATGGTCATTGACCAGGGCACCATGCTGGACAGGATAGACTACAACGTGGAACGGATGACTACCGACGTAAAGGGGGCCGAGAAGGAGCTCGTCATCGCCGACACGTACCAGAAGAAGACGACCAAGCGCAAGATTATCCTGCTTCTCCTCCTCATTATCGCGGGTATGATCATCCTGTTGGTCATCAAACCCAAGAAACGCGGAGGCGGTGACGACGAGTGAAGAAATCCAAATGGGCACTTCAATGAAGAGACGAAGAAGTTGGTGTAAGCTAAATGTATGAATTTTCTTATTTTAGAACAAATGTCTAGCGATTATGGAATCCATCATCGACCTGCAATGATAATTAAGATCATCCAGCGTCGCTGTGTCTTGGGCATGGGTGTTATTTATTACATGGTGTTACAACAGGCGAACTGCTCTCGCGGCAGCAGTCATTGTCCTCTCCTTTGCTTCCCCCGTGCCTCCATCATAAGGTCTTGTAATTCTGCAACGTCTGGCAAAAGCCTACGTCTAGCCGCCTTGTTGAAAAGCTCCCGAATGCTGTTCAACGGGGGCAATCGCGCCTGCACCCTAGGCGCGCCGTTGGCTTGGGCTAGGTACGTCCGAGCCAGGCACTTGACGACCTCCTCCTGGACAACAGACGTTCGGAACGGAATGCCTCGATCATTCAGTGCCGCGAGCAATCGCACGCCCCGAGCGAGGGAGAACCCACCGCCCGGTGCCTCCTTATTCGCGGGGAAATCCCCCGCAGGATCGAGGCATCGCAACCCGCTGGCCTTGAATCCCCAACGGACAATGGCGGCGTGTAGAGCAGGGTTATCAAAGATTCGGCGCATCGGGTGCTGCTCATGGGATATGGGCAAGTCTGTCGGGATAAAAACGTTTCTAGTCGAGCTCTCTACACACAGAGGCGGTGCATCCAGCGGGTGGACCGGAAGCAGTCCGGCATTGGAGATGCAAAGATGCCGGTGCGTGTCCAATATGCCAAGGCTGATGTCCTCCAACACGTCGAAGCGGCCAAATTTGCCGAGTCCGAAGAGTACCTTCTGCCAGTAGCGCGAATGTAGAGGCTTTTGCAACAGCGTCAGGCGTGTAAGGAAGGCGATGGCCGTGGAAAACGCCTCCTGGTTGGATGTCGTCGTTTTTGGATTCCACGGCAAGGGATCGAGAAGACTCGCGCAGATGTGTTGTATCGTTGATACGTGGACCCCGATGTCCATCGTTCGCATTTCATCCAGCAAAGCCAAAGCTTGTTTGAACCTCCCTTCGTCGACGAGATGGTGCAACAAAACGTTCGACGTGGAGTCGACCGAATCTTCCACCATTGCGGGCTGGACGGACAGCAAGAGCCGGTGTGTCTTCCAGTCTCCCTCATCAAAGGCCTTGTCACGGATGCTGGCAAGCATCGCAGGGTCGTCGAAGACGTCTGGGTGTATGTCGGTATGCAACAATTCCGCGAGCAGCTCGTCCTCGTTATTCTCGGCGAATCGTTTCAGCACCCACGCGTAAGCTGAGTGTCCAATGCCAATATTGACTGCCCGTAGCTGTTCGATCCGGGCCAAGACCCCTTTGGCTGTCGGTTCGCGCAAGGCAATCGACTGGAGTGACAGAGGGCCGATGTGGTGTACCCCGAGGGCATGAACAGCATGAATTGCAAAGTCAAGAGGCACCCAAGAACTTGCAAACCACCGCGCTCCAAGTTTATCACTGTGCTGTCTTCCCGGAGGCCCGCTCTCATCGCCATGTGTGTCATGAATGGCATCCCACAATGAGTCGTCCTGGGCGTCCCAGTAGGCCTTGGAGTTCAAGCCAATGACGACCTGTTCCTCTAGTTCAAGGGTGATGGTTGGGTAGTAACGGGCAAGAAACCTCAAATACGGCTGTGACTCGATATTCGGTGGGGGTAGATCGTCGTGGTGTATGAACGCATGACGCCATCCGGCGCATTGTTGAGAAAGGCCGCGTTCGTAGAGGAGGGGGATGATCTCATTGTATAACCCACGGTGTATGGCTGTCAGATACAGAGCTTGTAATATCTGTTGCATGTCGGGGTCGCTGGTAGCCGCGAATTCTCGTAATAAGGCACCGAAGGCTTCCTGTCCGGGGTCAAAGTTCGGCATCAGACGCATGTGCCACTGCAGTGCTCGCCGGTACTGGCCCTTCCGGAGACAGTACGAGACTGTGGTCAGGTATAACGACGGCCATTGGGCAGAGTTATCGTGAAGGAGACGCTCTGCGAATAACGCAACGTCCTTGAGCCTGTCCTCGTCGTGGAGGACGTTTTCCAGAATGATGCCCCATAATGATTTTGCTTCTTCGCTCGTCACGTCCCTCCATGACCTGCGCCGTTTCACAGCCTCCCAAACAGCAAGGACGCCGCCTCTCCCCTGTTTTTGCTTTGCGGCAACAAGTACGCTGAGCCAGAGTGAAGGATCATCTTCGTTCTCCGGTATTCCGCCGAGTTCAATATCGGATTTATCGGAAAGCCAGATGCCTCCTTCTGGATCGATGTTGATGCCGGAATCGGGTTCTCGTTGTATGAGACGACCTCGAGTGGTTCGAGGTTTAAGAATGCCTGGTCTCGATCCCAAACGCAGACTATCTGAAGGTTTCGGCGGACTGTCCGTGTTGGTGGTTGTGCTGCTCAAGTCGCGGGCATCGACGACTGGGTGCAGTGAAGTTGGGCTACATCTTGGAAGACTAGATGCGCGCGGGTCAAGGTTGGGAGCGCGTAACGAGTGTTTCGAGGTAGAGAAGCTTCTGCGTGAATTTCTCAGTAACGCTGGGACTGTTTGTCGAATCGCGCCGAGTCCTTGATGTGATTGCCGCCGGCCGAGGCATGCTGCTCTATTCAAGTGACAGAGGCATTGCGAGGCCAATTGCATTGCCCCGCGTGAAGAACCAGCAAAGCACAATTGCGTCGAGACGGGGCATTAAGCATAGCAGCTGGCACATTGAACGAAAGCTAAGGTTCGGTGGCGGGCTGCATCGCGAGGCTGAATCTGCAGGAGGGATCTAACAATTGCAAGCTTGGAGGAAATTCAGATCTGGGCCAAAAAGTTCCCAAGCAATATCCATCCGTCAACCGAATTGAGCTCCGCGCCATTCGTCGGCGTGTACCTAGAAAGCGGGTCCTGCTGAGTCAGTCGGGAGCCTTTCGGCCCACGCAAGGCATGAGCCCATCTTCCTGATTGCTCCGTCCGTCCTTCAAAGCCGACATACGAGAAAGCCTTCGAAGCTGTAAACCACCACAAATCCGAAGTCAATCGCAATTGAATCGATCAAAATGGGGTACGTGCCTTTTAAGTAGACGAGCGACCGACCGGCGGTCGACGGAACGCTGTCGCCGTCAATCGCCGTCCATGTCGAAGTCGAGAACAATTATCATACGAGGGCATTTCTGACGTCCACACAGTATCGTCGACGCGAAGAACAAGGTCCCCGACCTCCAGAAGTTCTATCAGGCCGCCTACAAGGACCACACCCGTGTCTGGAAGATTGTATGTCGAATTGACTCTGGATATGCGCAATTGGCGCCTGCACCGACGGACGGACGCTGACTCGATAATCGCAGAACCCTCGTTCCCGCTGGTACATGATCCCCTACGTTACCCTTCTGTGGGGATCTCTTGGTGGTATGTTTGTTACTTGCTCGAAAACTCATAGGGACGAATGCTCACATCCAGCAGTCTCCTTCTACGGCATGGGCCGCAAGGTCCTCGGCTACAATACTTACTTCGGCAAGGAATAGACGCTGCTCGCGATGGATACCACCCCGTAGCGAGAGGCTCGGGACCGGACTGTATGATTCGTAGGGCGACCAATAGACCAAATGGACTTCACTAGACCATTCTTCCTTAGTGACATGTTGACAAAAACCGAGAAACGTAATGACGTCGATCGTGGGAGTTCTCTTTTTTGACTATGCCTGTCAAAATAATCAAATGGCCAACCTTTTCCCGCTCCGTTCATTAGGCAGAAAAGGTCATCTAGAATACACATGCGCATCGGCACCGTAAGTAACGTCAAAATCTAGTGCTTGAGCGTCACCCAACCCTCTTGGACAGCTACAGCCGCTCCTCTCATTCATCTTTCATTCGCAGCATCTAGTAGCCGCTGGCTCCAGGTGCCTTCTCGTCCTTCTTCAGACTGATGAGGAGCTCGCGGAAGCGCTCCTTGCCGGAGCCGGAGGCGCCACCCTTAGAGCCCTTTCCGCTGACATCGACCAGCTTCGCGATTCTCTCCCAGCTCGTGCCGCCAGAGACAGTATCCTCACGGCTGGCGAGGAACTTCTCAGCATCCTTTTGCGTCTGGGCAATGCCCTTCTCCTTCTTGGCGTTGTAGTTGTTATAGAAATCGTCAATGTTCTCTCTGGCTTCCTTAATCGTCTCCTCACGCTGCTGGGCGAATTGCTGTGCCCGCTTCTCGTTCTGCGCATCTCTCTTCTCGCGCCACTCACGGATGACCGCGGGCTCCTCTTCCTCCTCGACGAAGGCATTGTAGCCAGAGTTGTAGTTTACGCTAGGAGCAGCGGTGATGCCAGCGCCGGGAATCTCGCCAGTGATGGCCTATGTATTCATCTGTTAGATGGTTCGTGGGGCGAAACTGTGGAATGACGAACCTCGTTCTGGGCAAGGTCTGGGAATTGCGACTCGAATGTCGACTCCTCGCTGATGACGTTTCCGCTACCTCCACCTCCAAGGAGATCATCGTCACCCGCTCCAAAGGCGATGGCATCATCACCGGTAGCAAACTGATCGGCATCGTCACCAAGAAGCGCCTTCTCGCGGGCAAGGAAGTCGTCGGTAGATGGTTCGGCGCCGGTATCCTTGATGTCGGTTTGGGCTGAATGCGATCTGTCAGCCTGAGGAAGCACATTTGCGCTAAGACTACCTACCACCCGAATCGAAATCCTCTAGCGAAGGGAATCTGTCGGCCATTTTGATGTCTGGATTGTGGGTTGTTGAAGAATAGGAAAGATGGGCAGGTTGTCAACGTGGCTGCTGGGGATCAGATGCCAAGGAGCCGATTGGGATAGAATTCCACCCAGAAATAAAGCTGTACAGCCTGGTTGTCAATAACGGAGTTTTCTTCCTGGAGACACTTGAATGCAATCGCGGCTGTAGGCTTGCAGAAATAAGTTGAGGTGAAGTATGGAATGTAAGGTACCTTTGATATGTGATAGGGACAACGGGAGGTTACCTTGAATGGGATGTCTCGTGGTGCTTGCCGTGTGCAGTGTGTAGTAACAGGTATCCACTTTGAAGCTGTTCCCATCGGTTAGTTGAATGCGCCTCTTCTGAAGTGTCACCCATGTGGTCCGAGCAGCCCCCTATGGCTAGGGATTCCAGGGTGAGGGAACTCTATGGATATATGCATATACTGGATACTGCGAGGCGAATCTCTACTTAATGCATTACTATAGAGAGACCACGTCTGAGCCATCAGCGTTGTTTTGATTCAGGTTGACCTCCGTTAACTGACTTCCATATCGCCATCTCTCTCGTCACCAGCAAAGTCCACCATTTCATCTCACTGACCAGAAGTGTCGTGATTCTGGGTCTCCAATCCATCTGTCTTACTAGTTGGCCATCTGTGCAGGAGGGCTGCTAGATGCATTGATCTGGACGCTTTGCGGAAGCAGCTTTGGGAGGTCAGGTGTTTGCTACTAGGATTTCAAGCCTAGAGATTCCATTGACTGACTGATTGAATACCTTCCATCCTTCTTTCACTCACTCTATCCCACTCATTCTTTCACTGCCTTGCTTCCTTTCGCTCTCTCGCCTACCTGGTCTACCTCACCACCTCGCTGGTCTAATATCGTTTGAAACTTTTTCAAGCACTCCATTTCGGAGAGGGTTCTTTTTTTTCCAACTTCGACAGAAGTTCTTTAAGCCATCTTCACGTCAACCTTAGCTACCCAAAATTCAATTTCGGCTCGGGTTTGCTTTTTTTATCAAAGGAAAGGGCAAGGAAACACATCCGTCCTCAGATCGTGTTTACTTCAAGTAAAGCAATTGGGTGCCTTCCCACTACCGACACCGTCGCAGAGACCACTTCCTACATATCTACAACACCCATACTAAAATGGCGTACAACGACGATGCTGTGCTGGCAAAGCTATCGGCCCTCAATGAGAGCCATGACAGCATTGCGACTGCTGCGCAATGGATCATGTTCCATAAGTAAGCTAAGCCGATGAGTTCCGATACTCATACCGTTCTCACTTCAGTGCAAACTGACTTTGGCGTCTTCACAGGAGACATGCAGATCGCACAGTTGCCCTATGGATGCAGCGTCTTCGAGACTCATCAAGCACCAAGAGACTAAGCTTGGTCTATCTTGCAAATGGTAAGAGCCTTCAAGCATTGCAAAACCCCTGTCTTCCTGATGAGGACTCATGTATATATAAAAAGAATGATTCTTACACATTCACAGAGGTCACCCAGCAATCAAAGGCTCGGCACAAGGACGACTTCCTTGTTGCCTTTTCTCCAGTCATCGCTGAGGCGACAGCTTTGGCCTACAAGGGAGCGCCGGCTGAGATCCAGAACAAGCTCAGAAGGGTCATCGACGTCTGGAAAGACCGCTTCATTTTCGAGCCGCCGGTTCAACAGGCCATCGAACGTGGCATTGATGGTAGACGTTTTCCCCAAATACGACAGCAACATATACTGATGATGCTTTAGAACTCGACAAGGCTCGCGGAACCGCCAAGGCAAACTTCGCTAGTCCCGGAATTGGCGGTGGTGGTCCTTCCGTTCCCGCAGAGCTTACTCCGCTCGTCACCTCCTATACCAATGTATCGAAGCTCAACCTGCCCACTAAGACGGCTGTGAGCACCGCCAACCAGGATTTTGAAAAGGTTACCGACCCCTCGACACCTGTCCCATCGGCTCCCGTCTACGCGGCAAGACTTAATGGTCTCTTGAAGAGTTTGGCGAGTGCTGAGGGCGCTGTGGCAGAATGCGTTAAGGCCCGAAAGGGCCTCATTGGCGAATTGGAGAAGATGCTCAGCGCAAGTCAGGAGGCACTCGCGAACGACGAGAGGCAGCATGCCGACCTGATGTCACGTAAGGCAGAGACGGAGGAGAAGAGACGTGAGATTGAGCAAGCCATTATGCGGGGACTGCCGACTCACGAGGCTTCGCAATCCCCTGGCAACGGAGCATCCAAGACCCCTGAACCTGAGAGACCAGAAGTCGAGGCGCTTACACCTCCCCCCGTGGAGGCCTTCACACCGCCGTCTGTAGAGGCGCTCACCCCTCCCCCTGTCCATGATGAGCCGCCTGTTCCTCACCATGCAGAAGAGGATCGTGCCCGCTCAGCATCGAGCCAGGGTTTCCAGCCTCCAGCAGCTTCGGGCATTGAGATGCTGTCAGCCCTTGCCTCGCAATACCAATCTATCCCTGTCTCAGCAAACGGCGCGAAGAAGAGACGCCGAATCGACGGAGACGAGTTCCCTGACCTCGGAGGTGACGATGGAATTGATGCCGATGTAGCAGAAATGCTGCGTAAGGAAAGCAATGGCAGCGCGTGAATAACCAGTGTGTTAGAGACTGCGCCGCTCCGACTACTCGTTATGCCACAGATACGGCATTGAGAGGTTTTGGGCAGACATGGGCAGACATGGGCATGTAGTATTATACTAGAGAGCACACAGCAGGCGTCATTAGTCTTCGCGACCAGCTACGAAGATTAGTCGAACACCCGAGGGATCTCTGTGAGACGGAACCTCGACAGTTGTACTCTGAGTCCTAATTCGAAGCAGGAAACAACCTTCTAGGAACTGGCCATCCTTGGGGACATGGTTTGAGGTGGAAATCAGAAGAGTTGAAGCCAATCGCCAGCTCATGTTTTTATAGTATGTAAGAAACCAAGAAGC